GGGTGTGTTGTGTGACTCAGGCCTGTGTGTGTGTGTGTGTGTGTGTGTGTGTGTGTGTGCTTTAGGAGCCTTACTTTACGAAACACAAATGAACATGATTGTCTGGCAGTGAACATTGTCCCATAAATTCAAAGGTTTCGGTTTGATTTGACGCAATGTGCCAAATTTCAAACACATGAGGCATTAAAAGCAACCGGCCAGTTTTAGTCGAAAAAATGTATAACGTGGTGTTCCTGGAACACTAGTTCAAGCTCCGGGAACGTTTCCATGTTCTGAAAGTCTTTTAACGCCTCTGCTTTTTCATCTCCGACTGACTATTCTTGAGTGTCTGTTATTGATCAGCTAAGATCCATGGTTTACTGCGTGTGTCATAATGTGACCCTGTGTTACCGGCACACAGCTGTGAGTCTAGGAATATTTACCACTGTCATCATCATCGCCGTCATCATCAGCATGGGGGCGGAGCTTATACCAGGTGCCCTCAGTGCACATATATTAGATTAGTGTGAAGCCTCTTAATGGCAAAGAGCCATGACGGAAGAGTGTGTGTGCGCTGCATGGTACATCATTGACAGTATATATTAAGAAATGCATCGGTCAGCGAGGAATTTCTGTCGGACTCCAGGAAGCACCTGCATCTGTGTCTGGAGCACACAACTCATGCGCTTTCCATTGTGATTTTTTTTTTTTATCCTACAACGTGCATACATCAGGAAGGCATTTTATACACACACACACACACACACTCATGCTGTGGACAGAATAGGGAAGAAAGGGAATGACTCACACAGGGAGAAGATAATCAATGTACAGGAATGTTGTGTCAGGGCCTTCTAAAATGAGACAGACCCTTACATGGTACCATAACTTACCATGTTTTTTTGAATTACAATAATATTTGAATCTTAATTATGACTCGACTTTTTATCTCATAATTTTGCCATTTATCTCATAATCATGTCATAATCTATACTTTATCTCACTTCAGTTTTTTTTAAAAAATCTTATGACATAAATTTTATAACTGACTTTTGTTGTTATTTTGTAAGTATGTCAATTTCGACTTTATCTCATAATTATGACTTGTCGTAACTTCAAATTTTATCTCACAATTCTTACTTAGTATGTCGGTTTCAACTTTATCTCATAATTTTGACTTTCTGTCATAATTTCAGTTTTTTAAATCTTATAATATAACTTAGTATTTCATAATTGACTTAGTTTTGACTTTATCTCACAAAGATGACTTGGTATGTCAATTTGAACTTTATTTAATAATTCTGACATTTTATGTTGACATAAAAAGTCAAAATGATGTAATTCATAATGTTATTTTTTAATCTCATATATTAGTGTGTCTCATAAGAATAATTATGACTTAGTATGTCGTAATTTTGACTTTATCTCATAATTATGACATTTTATGTCATAATGACAAAATTATGACTTAGTATGTCATAATTTTGACGCTAATCTCAAATTTAATCTCATATAATTTAGAATTTTATATTTATGCCCTAGCATGTCTCATGATTATGACTTAGTAGGTTGTAATGTTACCTTTTTTATCTCACTAATATGACTTAGTATGTCAATTTCAACTCTATCTCATAATTAAGTCATTTTATATCATAATGACAAAATGATGACTTAGTATCTCTTAATTTTGAATATCTCAAAATTATGACTTAATCTGTCATAATTTCGACTTTATCTCATAATTATGTCATAATGACAAAATTATGACTTATGTAATTTTAACATAAATTATGACATGTCATAATTTTGACGTTAATCTCAAATTTAATCTCATATAATTCGAATAGAATTTAATTTTTATGCTTTAGCATGTCTCATAATTATAACTTAGTATGTTGTAATGTTGACATTTTTATATCACAAATATGACTTATGTCAATTTCAACTTTATCTCATAAATATGTCATTTTATGTCATAATGACAAAATTATGACTTAGTATGTCATAATTTTGACGTTAATCTCAATTTTAATCTCATATAATTTAGAATTTCATATTTATGCCTTAGCACATGGGTCACCAAACTAAGGCCCGCGGGCCGAATCAGGCCCGCCACACCCCTTTGACTGGCCCCCCAACCCCTCTGCCCCCCACTACTTGAACCGGCAATCCCCAAAAGTCGTCATGGCCTATTTTTTTTAAATTGCTTTTTGGAAAATAATAACATGTCTGCATTTGGTATTTTGTTGTTTATTGAGCATGCTCACCTGGATAGGCATAAGAGCTGACTAGTTCTATTACTCATGTTGTTGTTATAATTTCAATGTTTATTTATTTATTTTATAGGCCTATTTATTTGACCTTTATTAAGTGCTGTACACAATTATTATAAATAGTAACAGGCCTACCTATAATTTATAATTTTTCATTCATCCTTACCAGTGCCACTCACCTCAACTAGGCAGATGTTTCTTACCTTGACAGGTTTGATGTTATTTGTATTCGAAAATAAATAAATGGAAAATCTGTGGTATTTCAAATTAAAACAAAGTGTGAAGACTCGATTACTACTTTTGCAAACAACTATTAATGATAAACAAATATGGCTGTGCCAGGCTAGTAATCTCTACTATGAGGCCTGCTGGTGGTCAGTTTGGTCTTGGTCACACAATTCTATTTTATATAGCCCCGGCCCCCCATCACAGTCAGGAACGATAATGTGGCCCCCAGAGAAAAAAGTTTGGTGACCCCTGCCTTAGCATGTTTCATAATTATGACTTATTATGTTGTAATGTGGACTTTTTATCTCACTGACTTAGTATGTCAATTTCAACTTTATCTCATAAAATGGGCTTTTTTATCTCATACTCAATTCAAGTTACCTTTATTTATATAGCGCATTTTACAATGCAGATTGTTTCAAAGCAAGATCTAGAAGAAAATGTCGTCATAGTCCTAAGTAAGTTCAGTGTTGATTCATTTTTGTTGTAATTTTTCTTTTATTTTTTGTTGTTCATATATATATATATATATATATATATATTTAGCCGCTCTGGAGAAAACAGTGATGACATCGTCCAGCTCAGTTCAGTTCTCATATAATGGTGTCAATACAGGAAGAACAATATATATATATATATATATATATATATATAAAACTATAATAATAAAACACAGATAATCCTGTTTGTTTCAGGGAATTCAGACTCTATTGATCCTCATTTAACACACACTCACTCATACACTACAGTTATATGCAATTACACGTGATTTTTGCCTTCCACCCTTTATTGCCATTCATTTTCGAGTGTGAGTGAGAGCGGGCCGTGTGTTACCCCAACACACTGTGATGTCATCAGCCGAGAGATTACACAGGACCATATGGATGACGGCCTGCCACAGTAATCCTCCAACTGCCTGCTCTTCCTGTCACACACACACACACACACACACACACACACTCTCTCTCTCTCCTCGCTGTGGCATGCATTCTGGGAAATGTTGGGCCCTCGTACCAGTGAAAACCATTACCCATAAGCTAATAAAAGGATATTTTGATTATGTTGCGTAAACTGATGCAGTGTGCATGTAGATGGTGAGTGAAAACAAAGGTCTGTTGTATATTTCCTTGGCTAGTGATGTATAATCGCATTAGTGTGGGATTATGAAGAACGAATATAGGCCAGGTGGATAGAGTGAAGCGGAAGTTTATTACGGGTAATTTGCCATTCACCTGCGCTGCCAAGAAAATGCTTTTAACTGTATTGATGTCTGTTTTGATACTTCATTTAGTGTACTGTATATACACTCGGAAACATGGGTTGTTTCAACTCAAATTTGGGTTCAAACAACCCAGCATTGTTTAAACTTAGAGATCAAATGCAAATGCAACCAATAAAGGCCAGAAAAGGACGATAACGATATTTTAATTGGCATTATGGGAAGCATTAATAGGAAAGTCCACTCCACAACTGTAATGATGATGACAAAGAATAATAATTGGATGTTGGGATGATTTTTTTTCCCAATCAGATTCTGCTTTAAAGAGCCGAACTGCTGCGCACACTTAGACAGAACGATATTGTGCGCTGTTTGGACGCTAATATAGTTATTGTTAAGGGCAATTCACACCACAACGATAACTACCATAAAGTTTTATTAATCTTCTAATTATTTAAGAAAACTTAGGGAACTCCACTAAAGACATGAAGAATGATATTGGCAGAATCACTTTCAGAAAGATTTATTGCAGCTAATGAACGATAATCAGAATCCATCCTGGTTTAAAGAGCTTGAGTGGCAGATAAAACAAACAATATGTTATCGAAACACTGTAAAAAGTGATCAGTTGATTTAACTTAAAAAAGTGAAGAAATCCATTGCCTTAAAATTATTAAGTAAATCTACTAAACTAGAAAAATTAAGTTAAGTTCACATAACTTATTTTTTTCAATTATGCATGAAGTTTTATTACTTTTAAGGCAAAGGGTTTCAACTTAACTGATCACTTTTTACAGTGTGACGCTATTCGATAAAGTTAGTCTCTGTAAAAAAAGCTTTTTTTAAGTACAATCGACTTGGATGTTTAAGTAATTTCAACTTAAATTGCATATAAAATGGCTTTAAAAAACAAAACGTATTCAACAAGTTAAAATGTAACTTTAAATTGAACAAAATAACTTATTTTGATGAGTTAAAGCAAAAACATGCCATTATTTACAGATCATACAGGCCTACTCTTTTTACAGTATGCGAAAGCGGCATAAGCCCACATAGCCGACCGCTTTTAAATATTTTCAAGGACGTTCAAAGGAAAATGGATTGGAATTACAAGAAAATGACACACTCTGTGGAGAAGTGCCGTGATGAACTGATGATAAATGTCCAGAATTCTCTTCCATCACACTCTCAACCAAGGGCGTGTTTAGTCAACCCAACGTAGGCGCGCTCCCGTGTCCGTGTGTCCATATATGGTTCGTGACGTCAAGCGCCGGAGGTTCCGTTCATATAAAACCGATCCGACGGAATCCCCTTGGAGGAAATGTAGACTCAGGCACAGTACACAGGGTACAGTAGGCAACCTACACCCCTGAAACATCCACATCCCAAATAAAAGCAGTCCTCCACATTTTACTTTATCGCTTCAACATGAAGGTCTCCAGCATAGACTGCCGACGCCTGCGGAAGATCATACGGAAAGAGAGTGGAAGTTGTCTTATTGTGGACTGTAGACCGTACTTCTCCTTCTCCAGCTCGAGCATCAAAGAATCCGTTAATGTGAACTTGAATTCGGTGGTGGTCCGGAGGTCCCGCGGCGGTCCGGTACCGCTGCAGTTCGTCATTCCGGACGAGGAAGCTTTGTTTCGGCTACGGCAGGGCAGCATCTCCGCGGTCGTGGCTCTGGATGACCGAACACCTCATTTACAAAAACTGAAGAAAGACAGTATCACTCAGATTGTCATTAATTCTTTGTCGCACTTGGCGAGTAGCGCGAGCATCTGCTTCCTTAAAGGTGAGTGAAGAATGTTTGACGGTTCGACTGTTTTGTTTAAAGTTTTCTCAAGAGTGTTCAAATATTGTAAAACTTTCATTCAATTGTTATGTCTACATTTAGACTGACGATATCAAGGATAAATTAAATATATATATATATATATATATATAATTCTTAAATATGCTCTGAATTGTACGGAAATTCGGTATTAAAATTACATTTTAATACCGAAACTACACACACACACACACACACACACACAAATATATACACACACACACACACACACACACACACACACACACACACACATGTGTACTGTATATATAGCCTAGATGTCTCTCTCTCTCTCTCTCTCTCTCTCTCTCTCTCTCTCTCTCTATATATATATATATATATATATATGTATAATGTAATTTCTGATTTAGATCAAATAAATCAATTTAGAATCCTGACATTCTAAAAGTAAATAAAGAATTACATATTTAGTAAAATTATATAGGCTACAATAAATGATAATGAAAGTGAATGTGAAATTTAAATGACACATTTTTATTATATAGGCTATGTTATCATACAACACATTCACAGTTTATGCTGTTGAACTAATAGATAGTTTGATATAGCAGATCAAGCTTTGGTCTGGTTTTGAAGAGATAAATTCTCGTTGTGCGTCAAAGGACGGATGAGTCAGAGAGGGAAGTATGTATGAGAACCAACACAGTAATATTTATAGCTATACCATACCATATTATTACCCCTTCCAGTGATTCAAACGTACTCGGATTTTCAAATTGGCTTATTTTTTTCGATTTTGAAGAATGAAAAGAGCTCATGAACACGCTCCCTTTGTTGGTGGGATTTGCTTTTTGCCTCTCACACTTTGATCAGCTCGATCTGTCACACGAGAAGCTCTTGATAAGGCGAACGACTCAACAATCCTTGAACACTCATAATAACTGTGCGTTTCTCATTGCAGGAGGCTACGAGAACTTCCATTCCCATTACCCCGAGCTTTGCACTGAAACCAAGTCTGTGGACCTGAGTGAAGACAAAAGCGAAAGAGGCGTCAGCAGTCACTGTGACAAATTAGCTTCTCACCACAAACCAGACTATGATCAGGTAAGAGAGAAGAAAGCAAACTGTTGTTTCCTATTTTTACCCACTTCCCCTTAACTGTGGGAATTTCTGCAACAACTCCCCCTCAAATCTGAGTCGAAATACAAAGAACAGGCCATGTTGTCGATGATAATGCTTTTAATAATGTATAATACACATAAATGGGAGGTTATAGCTGTTGACAACCGTCTGTCTACCAAAGGGTCAAAGTTTCAAAGACACCCAGCGGACATCTGAGGTCCTTTTATGTCTGACCTTTGCTCATGCAATTCAAACGGTGCCTGTGCACCACCAGTTGGTCATCCCTGAGAGAGTGTGAGTTCTGATATCTGTGTTTTATTGTTGTTGTTCAGGGCCGGCCGGTGGAGATCTTGCCTTTCCTGTACCTGGGCAGTGCCTATCACGCCTGTAGACAGGACTATCTCAGTGACCTCCGCATAACAGCGCTGCTGAACGTCTCACGCAGGGACTCTCGGCCCGCCAAAGGACAGTTCGACTACAAATGGATCCCGGTGGAGGACAGTCACACGGCAGACATCAGCTCACACTTCCAGGAAGCCATAGATTTTATTGGTAAATATTGTATATGTACTATTTTATATGTTTATTAGGGCTGTGAAACGATTAATCGCAATTAATCGCATCCAAAATAAAAGTTTGTGTTTACATAATATATGTGTGTGAACTGTGTATAATTAGTTTGTATATATACGTACACACACATACATGTATATATTTAAGAAAATTTTTTATTTATATATAAAATATTTATGTATAGTACAAATATATATGCAGTATATATAAGCAAATATTTCTTTAATATATACATGCGTGTGTGTGTGTGTTTATATATACAAAATAATTATACACAGTTCACACACATGTATTATGTAAACACAAACTTTTATTTATTATGCGATTAATCGCGATTAATCGTTTCACAGCCGTATTTTGATTAATCGTATTTTGATATATATATCAAACGATTAATCGCGATTAATCACATCCAAAATAAAAGTTTGTGTTTACATAATATATGTGGGTGCACTGTGTATAATTATTTATATATATATAAACACACACACATGCTTGTATATATTTTAAGAAATATTTTCATGTATATACACTGTATATAGATTTATATATAATTTATATGATATGTAAATATAAATATTTTTATAATATTTTTTTCTTAAATATACATGCATGTGTGTGTATTTATATATAAACATACACAGTGCACCCACATATATTATGTAAACACAAACTTTTATTTTGGATGCGATTAATCTCGATTAATTCTTTGACAGCCCATATATATATATATATATTTAGAGAGAGAGTCAACATCTTTAATGTTATGTAAACGTCACACGTAAAACCATTCCCAGAAGTCAGCACTGACCTATAGATAGGGCGGCTTATTTCAGGTTGTTTAAAAATAAGACTTCCTCTGCCTCACTAACACATCATTTCCATAATCTGGCCTGACTGTACCTTTACTTACACCTACATACTCCGTGATATACTTGTGTTCTGGGAAATGCAATTAAGAGCAACTCATGCAGAAACAAATAAGATGAAACATGTAAGGTGATAAATGGACATGTCACTGTGAGTCACGAGTTAGACTAATCCAAGATATTACGTATCATAGGCGTGGCCAGTGTGTCAGTGGATGAGTCGATGATTAGTGGTGTTAGGTGTGCGTGTGTGTTCTTTATGAATTGACTGACATGTGTTTTGTAGATTGTGCACTGCTTTATTATCAGGTAAATGTGTTTACTCAAATCGGAATTAAATGGAAGTTGCGATGGTCTTTTCTTCCCTTTGTGACGTATATACGAGTGAATTGGCTTCTCAAACAAGAACAAATGTAGGATGGGACTTGATTTTGTCCATTAGGAATTGGTTGGATGGTTGTGGTTTGCCATTGGTCGATCTCATGTGAGCGACACGTAGCCCCGCCCTCCCGCCAGTAAACGCATCATCAGGGAAGAAAAAAGATGTCACTGAAAGCAAATTTTGTTATTTTGGAAGTTATTTTGATTGAAGATTATGAGGGTGCATGAATTAAAAAAAATAATGATGTGCACGGAGAAAACAGTTATAATAAAAACTGCAATATTCCAATAAATAATTTTGATTTCATGGGGATTTAAAGGCGATTTATGGGTGATTCTCAGGAAACCAAAAAAACGTCCAGATTCACCCTAATATATTAAATGATATACTTAATTTGATCAATAATATCATTATATAATATGCATAATGGTAATGATTGGTATTATGCCTTACATTTATGCTGATTTGAATAAAAAATAATTGTTTTACAGTAATTTCTACTGTATGTTGTAATAAGTATAATAATAAATGGTCAGAATTAATTGCAGTAATGAGGGAAATGTTGGACACAATGCAAAATATGGTCCTAAAATAAGCTGATTTTGGGGTGAAATATTCTCTGGACATTAGTTTTGTGAGACTCACATGAGTAAAGCTCCCTGTGTGACCCGTTTTCATGTCATCCAGTGTCTTAGCGATATGTATTTTACATATACCTGAATATAGACCATAATACATAATCATTTGATCTCTCGCAATCCATTGAAAGCGTTGGCTAATGAGTGTGTGGTAATATTTAGGCGCTTAAGCGAGTGTGACGCCCACAGCTCGCTCCAGATGGGCTTCAGGCGTGATTCACACCAGCGGGTTTTGATTAAGAGACCAGCAGCGAGGGATCTCACATGAACACGTTGTCGTTGAGAGAAATAAGTCTGGAATCTGCTTAGCAGTATTGAATTCGAAATATACATGCAATCTAAGCTTTCCATAATGGTGTGAGTGTGTGAATATATGGATTTATGAGTCAGAACCTAGGTGGAAATGAAACTGATATGACATTATGATAAAAGGGGTCAGGGAGGAAATGAATTAGCTGCAGCGATAATGGACTGTATCAGAAAATAACTGTGAAAAGATAACCGGATGATTATTTTACTCCAAATATGCTCAGATGTGCCATAACGTTGGTTGTTTCCCCCCACAAGTCTGAACATTTTTGTCTTTGGCATATTCAAAACATTGGCTACACCCGAAATCGCAAACTCTCCTGAGTAGGTACTTATTTTGACCGCTAAAAAAGTATGTTCTATATAGTATGAATGTAATCTGGACGTACTACATTCACCATTCGCCTACATTCACCTACTATAAGATATCCTACTATATAGATAGTATACTATATCCATCGAATGCACACTTCAGAATCTCGCAGGAAATACACTCTCAGAAAAAAAGGTACAAAAGTTGTCACTGGGGCTGTACCTTTTCAAAAGGTAAACTTTTGTCCATTTCATGAGCTAATAAGTACATTTTAGGTGTTAATATGTACATGTTGGGTGCTAATATGTACATTTTAAGTGTTAATATGTACATTTTAGGTGCTAATATGTCCACTTCAGGATGTCAATTTCATAAGCTAATATGTCCATTTTAGCTAGTAATATGTGCATTTAGGTACTACTAATATGTACATTTTAAGTGTTAATATGTAGATTTTAGTTGCTAATATGTACCTTATTAGGTGGTAGTATGTCCATTTTAGGTGCTAATATATACATTTTAGGTAGTAATATGTCCATTTTTAAGTGCTAATATGTGCCATTAAGGTACCAATATGCAGCCTTTGGGTACAAAAGTGTACCTTTTGAAAAGGTACAGCCCCAGTGACAGCTTTTGTATCTTTTTTTCTGAGAGTGTAGTAGATCATCTGGGTATTTTTTGCCTACTTTTTTAGTACTGTGAATTCAGACATACTTCATTGGTCACATACTGTTTTTCGCCTACTATAGTAGTGAAGTATGCGATTCCAGATGCAACCACTGAGTTGTTTGTTCGTGTATTTTAACCAGCCCAGCATAGCCAATGGCATACGTTTGGGGCGTGGCTTAGTTGCTTGAGTGGCAGATGAGGGGCTTGGTTTTAGCCTGGTTAAACCCAGACCATTCTCTGTTGTAACTGAGTTGTGGTCTGGCAAAGCGTCATATACAAGTACTTTCCAGAGGGGCGTCACCAACGGAGGTCGCGGGTAGACCTAAAACCAATCAGGGGTGCGTTTCCCGAAAGCATCGTTAGTCAACTATGGTCGCAAGTTGGTCGCAATTTCCATTGAACTCTATTGGAAAACGACGGATGCGATGCTTTCAGGAAACGCACCCCAGAGCGATGAAGGAGATGACGTATGCAGAGCGGCGGCCGGCGGAGAAACATCTCCGAGTGTTGTTCTTTGCTCGGTTTTTAACAAAAAGGAAACGTTCAAAACGCTTAAAACAGACGCGATAGCTGATTCGAACGAGTGATGTTTGATGTCGGCGTCCATCTTTGTAATGTAGGCTACAAAATCTGTTTCAAAATCCCAGCGCTGTCGTCATCGTGTAAAGCCCGCCCCAACATTTCTGATTGGTGCCGCGATTTCGACGGATTGGAAATGGGCTTGAATGAGCTCTTTAAATCTAAATTTGTTGGAAGTTGTCTGGGTTTTTCTCAAGCTAGCTTGATTTGGAAACTTGTTTGAAAACAGTAATTGCTATTCCGTAATTAGCTCTTTTGACTTGAAATAAGTCAAAATGTTGTTGTTATTTCAAGAGCTTTCATAATGAATTCATGTTCTTTTCTCTCCACAGAACGTGTGAAAGAAAAGGGAGGTAAAGTGCTGGTCCACTGCGAGGCTGGAATCTCTCGTTCTCCCACCATCTGCATGGCGTACATCATGAAAACCCAACGGTTGCAGCTGGAGCAGGCTTTCGAGGTCATCCGAAAGCGGCGTGCCATCATCTCGCCCAATTTTAGCTTCATGGGTCAACTACTCCAGTTCGAGTCGGAGGTGGTTTCTTCCACGCCTCCATCCATCACTCCTGCCGCTCAGGAGACGCCCACCTTCTTCAGTGGTGACTTCACACTCGAAACTGAGAGCTACAAGTCCTCGGTTTTCACCTTCCCTACCTCCTTCCTGACACCAATGCCCATCCAACCATCAGTTCACCAGTTCAAACTGAGTCCAATAACTGCGCTGCCTTAAAATGGCTGCCGACTCACTGCAGTCTCAGTGTACTTGAAAAATAAAAGGACGAACAGAACAAAGCAATGGACTATCACAGGGAATACAAATGTTTTCATATTTAAAAAAAAATCATGAGACAGTGTTAGCTTTTTGATTTTTTTGCCTTAGAGAAAACCACTGCACAATGATTACACTGCAATACCTGCCTTAGCTTGATAATGTTCTGCCTATCAACAGCGCCTATAGGCAAATTAAATTATTGTGTTTCTTTTTTTAGAACAGTTTCTTTTTTATGAATTGTGGATCTGTTAATAAACGTTTTTACAGTGTACATTTTGTTCATGGTGTTGGCTTGTTATCAGCAGGTTTGATTTACGCTCCTCTACGCATGTTTTAAACACATCCTCCAGATATTCCTCCAAAACTGTTGTGCAAATATACTATTATACATTTTTTAATACATTTAATAGTAAGTCTTTTTCACCTGGGGAAAGTCAACAGTAATTCACAGAAACATGCTTTTTTCATGAAAGGAACAATATACCAAGTTAGGCCTAAAACACCCTCATGAATATATATATATATATATATATGAGCTTTAAAGGGTTAGTTCACTCAAAAATGAAAATTTTCCCATAATACAGCCAAACATCATCAAAGTTATTGCTTCGAAGCTTTGTATTGGCATTGAATAGTTCCTGAGTTTTTAAAGCTCAAAAAAGTGCATCCATCTATTATAAAAGTAACATATGACTACAGGGGGTTAATAAAGGCCTTCTGAAGCGATGGGTTTTTGTAAGAAAAATATCCTTATTTATAGCTTTATAAACTATAACCACTGGCTTCCGGTAACGGGCGTATGCGAATCAAGTTCTGGACGAAGAGTGACCTCTGACCCGATGCATGACATATTTAGGAGTCGAATGAGTGAACTATCCCTTTAAGAAGCTATAGCAAAAAAAAAGACACAACAGTAGTGACATCTGCTGTGATAAATCCGGCATCAGTATAGATACTGTATCCAGCCTACTAAAATATACCTTTTAGTGGAGCATCAGCCCCTTTTCACACAAAAACAAAAGATTAAGTAAAAATAATTTGAAATAAAGGCTCTTGTGATGCAATATTAAAATAGCGCAAATTACTCACCCACTATTTGGAAAAAAAGAAGGAAAAAAAGAAACTTTTGCTTCATGAAAGTTCTGCACGCAGGAACACAAACAAAATCTGACTGAATCCAGATCCGGATCAGACGAGAAGTTTGGATTCTGTTCTTCTGTGTAGACTGATTGTATATTAATGTAAATATAATGCAAATCTCATCTGGATCAGATCATTCTAAAATAATGATCACCATTTTATTATTATATATCTTTAAAAGAAATACTCAGTGTAGACTTGTATGTAATAATTTCGATTTATTATATCATACTTATGACTTTGAATGTCATAATGTTGACTTTTCATGTCATTACTGTGACTGTACAATAAAACAACTAGTTTACAGTCTATGGATGAATCATAATCAATAGATTGTTTCGGAAATGGGCTTCCATACTTTTCTGCGAAATAAAGAAAATGAAAATAAAGAAAAATGTAATAAAAATTAAAAAGGAAATATAAATAAATGAAACAATACAATAATACCATCAAGAGTTTATTCTATAGCAGCAGTCTTGGCGCCCAATCTCTTCCACGACGGACTAATATAACTTTACAATATAGGGGTAACGTTGTGGACGAACTAGATATGAAACTAAAGTAAAGCAATGAGTTAATTAAACAATCAACTTGTACAGATAAAATTAATTTGCCCTGAAAATTTGAGGCTCGTGCGGTCCATTTGCTGCTCCTTTAAACGTTTATTTTAAATTATACTTAAAGGTCCCCCTAAAAAGTCAAATAGACTCTTCCGCTCGTCCCGCCTCTGTCGCCATTTTGATTGTTATGTCTGCTTCGTGAGGGGAGGGAAAATAAAATTTGATCGTGCAGAAGAGTAAATATCGGACAAATTTATTCAGTGTGCAGACATATTTATCTTCACTCAAGCCCTTCTTCTCTCTGAGGAGGAGGGTGTTTAATTCAGCTTTGTTAGGCTGGTTTCTGAGGAGAGTTTTGTGCATAAACCGCCATGTACATTAAACAGGTGAGTGAGTGAGATGCGACTCACGCGTTGCTTGTAACATTATGAAATATATGTTTAATAATGCTATTAAAATACCTATTTACATTTTTAGATATCAAATGTGCACAAACATAAGTTTTTGTTCATTATGAGCTCGATAGGTTGTAAGTTTTAGTGAGTGTATGGCCTTCAATGAAGTAGCATTAGCTTTAGCATTAGCTGTCAAACCCCCCAAACATTGCCATAATTATTCAATATTTTTAAATCTCTTATATGGAAATTAACTTTAATTGGCTGCTGCCCATCATATGTGAAGATACTGCTAGTAGAATAGTTTCTCATATAGTCATCTAACAGTTTAGTACTTGAACTCCGTTATGTATTATTATGTAATTCATACATAAAGTGTTGAATACACAAACATATCTCAGTAGGTTTTTGTTTAGATTACACTCATTATTTGAGAGAATGTTTTACTTTCAGTATATTTGGAGGAAAAAAACACTCTAGCAGATTGTATTGCTATAACACTGTTGACATTATATTTAATAATTGTCTTTCAGGTTATTATTCAGGGGTTTCGCAGCTACAGAGATCAGACTGTGGTTGACCCCTTCAGCTCCAAACACAATGTCATAGGTATGTTTTCATCAGATTTATACATTTTGAATCACATTGTTTGCTTTTTACATTTAGAAACTTTAAAAAAATGTTTTAACATTTGTTTAAAAAAATACTTTTTTTACAGTTGGAAGAAATGGATCAGGAAAGAGTAACTTCTTTTATGGTAAGTAATTTTTTTTTATAAGGGTCGGTTCTCCGATCAGGATTTTTGGGTGGGAAAACCGATCACTGGGATCCGTGTTGGCCGATATTATCACTGATGTAGATCACCAAAAATAAATAATAGCTACTATTCTTAACAACAAATCAAATTAAGAGTTAAGCAACTCTCATGAATTGACGACTCTATTTATTGGCAAGCAACATGTGCAACATATTTCATTCCCTCTCTTAGAAGAGATTAGGAACAGCTGAGAGATTAACAAATATAGTATTCCTATTAAGTAAATAATAGTTAAACATCAGACTTCATCAACAGAAATGCAGACATTTTTTATTATCAAGGATATTATCCTGCAGTTTAGCAACAGTAGACTGTATTTCATGACAATCAATGCTGTTAAGTTTGGGCTTTTAGTGAGGAACGAAAGCGCACAGCTGTGAAGAAAAGACATATACTAAATGATCACAGCTTTAGTTTCTTGATGTCGTTGCAATATCTCCGCTCTCCGCAGAGACGTTACAAATTTATTGGTCTTTTTAGGCACCCGTAGAACTGCCAGACCGGTGAGTGTAGTGAAGCAATTTTAGCTGCATGTAGAAAAAATCATCATCTGAATCAGACCACTGATCAAAACTATATAAAACTATTACCGGCTGATAATGATTCGGAGCCCCCTTAGTAATTTAATACATCAAAACACTGACAGTGCTGGTGAATAGTTTGTGATGAGCACTTCATTTGTTCCCCCATCAGCCATTCAGTTTGTGCTCAGTGATGAGTTCAGTCACCTTCGACCAGAGCAGCGTCTGGCTCTGCTTCACGTGAGTAACAGTATATTTTGTTTCAATAATTTAAAAACTCACATTTTATTTTAGTACATTAAGTAATTTTCACTATTCATGCTAAACCATGTACTTTCGTGTATTTTTTAGGAAGGCACTGGTCCTCGAGTCATTTCAGCTTTTGTGGAAATTATATTCGACAACTCTGACAACAGGCTGCCGGTAAGAAATGCATCCTAACGGCCCTGATCTACTCAACGGCGAAGCTCTTTTTCATTCTTTGTTTTGGGGGTAAAAGTTAGCTTAAAATACTATTGCATAGAAATAATGTTAGGCAACATCCCAACGCTGTCCACGCCGAGGTGAGCGATGTTTAGTTGAATATGTAAATATGGTATGTGCGAGAAAACCGCAGTGAAGAAAGCATCTGATTACAGCGACGTGGACATGTTTGCATGAGCTCTGCAATTTGAGTATATCACTTGAAGTATATCAGGGCCTTAAATGATGGGAAGTGGACTGAAGTAAAGGCAGGCGAATAACATGACCTCATTGCTCTTAGATCGATAAAGAGGAAGTGTCTCTGCGCCGTGTCATCGGAGCAAAGAAAGACCAGTACTTCTTGGACAAAAAGATGGTCACGTAAGTTTATTTTATCCTAACGCATTAGAGATGCAGCAGACTTCTTATGGTTAGAGCTGTAAATGAACACATTGTGTTCGGTGTGTTTCAGTAAGAACGACGTGATGAACCTGTTGGAGAGTGCTGGTTTCTCCCGCAGCAACCCTTATTACATCGTCAAGCAGGGAAAGGTATGTTAGTGTCTCCTCTCATGACAAATGATTTTTATAGCTATTCATGAAGCTTGTTATCGCTTAAGATTTTCCAGCCCTCTTGGATTGTAGTTAGGGGTGCCGATATATCGGCCACCATATCGGTATCGGCCGATATTTGCTCATTTTTATGTTATCGTTATCGGCCCGATAATAGAATTTGGCTGATATATTAAAGCTGATAAATAATGAATTATTTCCTTCAACACTTGACACCTGAGACACTTAAGGTGCGGACTGTTCAACATGATTGATCTTAATTGCTTGAAATATGATTGGAATCAAAAAGGAAAATATAGTTAAGTGCTAAATGTGCTGTCATATCGGCTACATGAAATTATATTGAGAATTATAATTGTGTTAGGGAACGGATTTTAATTGTGAGACTTTTGTTTTTGCAATCAGGCTTTCAAAAATTATATAAAAATTGGAAAAATTAGATTTATCGGCCGATATATCGGTTATCGGCTTTCAAATATAAAGAATTATCGGTTATCGGTTTCAGCCAAAATGTTCATATCGGTGCATCCCTAATTGTAGTAAATAAAAGCATCTCTCGCATTAACATTAATGGTGATTTACAAACAATAATGTGGCTCTTGGGATTAAAGTGGTACTAATGCTGTTGCTACTCATTCTAAATGAATTTGCTCACTCTGTTTTACCCTTTTGATTGTCTCAAACATGATAATAGATCAATCAGATGGCGACGGCGCCGGACTCTCAGCGTCTGAAGCTGCTCAGAGAGGTGGCAGGCACCAGAGTCTATGATGAGCGCAAGGAGGAGAGTATCTCGCTCATGAA